AAGAGTGATATTTTAAGGGTTGGGGATTTAGCTCAGCGGTTCGGTGGCCTGCCTTGCAAGCGCAAGGACCGGAGTTCAATCCCTGGTACCCAAAAAAAGGAGTGATATTTTAGTAAATGGATTGTCGAATTCTTATTTATTATTGTTTTCCCCCCTCACCCTCATCTCCAAAGCGGCTGCATTTCAACAAGGAAAGATACCTCCTACTCCGTTCTCCGCTCCTCCTCCCGCAGGGGCGATGATCCCGCCTCCACCCAGTCTCCGTAAGTTTTGTCTTGAAGCCTCCGCTGCACAGCAGGTTATCCTTTACTTGTTGAATTAGTGTGTAAATAGTAAAAGAAACAACTTTAGAGGTATAATTTCTGAAGGTAGCTTCACAGTTTAATTTTGTGTCAGGGGGCTGGAATTTAAACCTAGGATCTCTTGTTATATGAGACCACTGTGCTACATCCCAGCTCTTTCTATTTTGAGACACAATCTCAGTGTTGCCTAGGCTGGACTCAAACTTGAGATACTTATGCTTCAGCCTCTCAAGGAGCCAGAGCAACGGGCATGTGCTGTTATACCTGGCTAGAGTTAACTTTTTTGGGGGTACCAGGGATTGAACTTGGGACCTTGTGCTTACTAGGCAGATGGTGGAACCACTGATCTAAATCCCCCAGCCCCTCAACGTTTTCTTATTGAACATTTAAGTTGTGCCAAATTTTTGCTGCTTTTTTTTGGGGGGTGCCAGGGATTGAACTTCGGATCTTGTGCTTGCGAAGCGGGCAGCACCACTGAGTTAAATCCCTGGCCCTATTGGTTTTGTTTTGTTTTGATTTTGATTTTTTTACTTTTTATATTTGGTACTTGGGATCGAACTCAGGTCCTTAGGCTTGCAAGGCAGGTGGCAGAACCACTGATTTAAATCCCTGGCCTGGCCTGTTTATGGATCTACTAATACAAAAAGAACTGTGAGAGGTTGGTTGTTTTAGAATTTGAGCCAGTTTGTGAGACTCTGTTAGTTTCTTTAAGAGAAAGTGCCAGCTTTGTATCAACATAGTCTAACCTTTGGCTCTGATCTCTGTTTTAGCGGGTCCTCCTCGCCCTGGTATGATGCCAGCACCCCACATGGGAGGCCCTCCCATGATGCCAATGATGGGCCCCCCTCCACCCGGGATGATGCCAGTGGGACCTGGTGAGTTGGAAGGTCTTTCCTTTTCTGTGTGTCCCACCGTGTTTCAGTTCTCCAGTTTAGTGGAATTCTGAATTAGCTGTCTAAATGTGTTGTTGTTGTTGTTGTTGTTAGCAGTCTAAATGTGTTGTTGTTGTTGTTATTATTATTATTATTATTATTTTTGGTACAGGGATCAAACTCAGGGCCTTGCACTTGGGAAGCAGGTGGCAGAACTACTGAGCTAAATCCCCGGCCCCCTAAATGGGTTATTAAAAGTATTGCAACAAATTTAGTCTGTTCAATCTTAATTGGTAAAGAAAACTATTTTGTTTATCAGTATAATTAGATGGTATCCAACCACCCCAGTATCCTAAAAGTGGGGGAAGACTTTCTGTCTGTCTTCCCTTTGTCTTCTATTTCCTTGCCACATCCTGATTTCTAGCCATTTGCAAGGAGAAGGGTAAATGAGTTTATTCTGTTTTGGAGGGTAGGTAAGTTTTCTCAGTTTTGTTGCAGAGCAGAGCTGCCTCTTCTAACAGGTTTAGTTTTCCTAGCTCGGCTCAGTAGGAAAATAAAATTGTTTTAGGCTTTTGTGTGTGTGTGATACTGAGGATGGAACCTAGCTCATTACTCATCCTAGGCACGTGCTCTACAATTGAGCTCGTCCCTAGTCCTTTATAACTTTGAGGCAGGACCTTGCTAAACCGTTCTGGCTGGCCTTGAACTTGTGATCCTCGTGCCTTAGCCTCCTGAGTAGCTGGGATTACAGGCATGTGCCACCACACCTGGTATTAGCTGAATTTTTATTCATGAAGCATTTTTTTTTCAAGTTTTATATATTTTGGTTCTGGAGATGAAACCCACCACCTCATGTATACTGAGCACATGTGCTGTGCCTCTGAGCTACACCCTCAGCCTCAAACAGTCTGTGTTACGTTTTTCTTCTTTGCAGAGCTGGGATGATACCAGGGCCTTGCCCACGTTAGGCAAGTGCTCTGCCGCTGTGCGGTGTATCCCCAGCCCTCATTATTATTATTATTATTTTTTTTTGGTACCAGGGATTGAACTCAGATCCTTGTGCTTGCGAGGCAGGTGGCAGAACCACTGAGCTAAATCCCCGGTCCCCCAGCCCCCATTTTTAATGTAAACATAACATACGTTAGTTTGCAAATCTTCCTGATACTTGGGCAGGACCTTTGCTTTGAGGAGGAGTCTACTGATTGGAATACTGTGTATTTTTGCAGAAGCCAAAAAACTGTAACCATAATTCTTTCCTACCAACTTTATTTTCATTTTATTTGAAGTGGTTAGAGACCTAATGATGCAATCTAATTTTAAGCTTTTATTATCATTTTACCTACTAAATTTGTGAGCAGTTTTGGGAGGTGATTTGCCTTAGTGTTTTAAGTACATCCATTTAGTTTCATAGAAATAGTTTTCACCCTCATGTTGTATTGGTTGTGGGATAGTTAAATTATACTATACAGTTAGAATAATAAATATGACTGATATAATGCAGTTTGGGGACATTTATGACTAATGCCTACAACTCAGCTGGAAAAACAAAGTGCAAAGGTATTAGAGAAGCTTTGTAGCTAAATTATTCAGTGCGCCTTTTCTGAGTAGGACAGGAAGAGTATAGAGTTCCTGACTTACTGTCTTGTGAACTCAAAACACAATCAAAGTAATTTAAGACAGGGTCACAAATTTAAGGTCAGGGATGTGATGAACTGGTAAATGCATGAGTATCTAAAGAAAGCTTCTGGCTAAGTGGGGTGGCACATGCCTCCTGTCCCAGCAGTTCAAGCAGCTGAGGCAGGAGGATTGCTTGAGGCTGGGCAACGGAAAAAGACCCTATCTGACAAAAAACACCAAAAAAATAAATAAATAAAAATAAAGAAAGAAAGTTTCCAGAACTCAACTTTAGCCTGCGGTTGATAAGTAAGAATGCAGGCTCCCCCCCCCCACCTCCCAAAGGCAGAATACAATGATAACATTGTGGGATTTGTGTTTAAAAAGAAAGTTGAGGGCCTTTGGGGGCTGGGTAGGCATAGGAATGAGTGGGGGGGATAGATAACAAGCACTGGCCATGGGTAGATAAATAGTGAAGCTGAATGACATGTACATGGATGTTCGTTATATTCTTTTCTGTTATTCTTGGGAATTTTTGAGTATTCCTGTAATAAAAAGATAAAGGAGCCTAGAATTCTTTTTTTTGTTGTTGTTGTTGTTTTGAGACAGGGTCTCACTATATAGTTGAGACTGACCTAGAATTCGCTATGTAACCCAGGCTGGTCTCAAACTCATAGCGATCCTCCTGCCTCAGCCTCCCAAGTGCTGGGATTACGGGTGTGCACTGCCATGCCCGGCAAGGAGCCTAGAATTCTATATGAAATCCTAATGATGGCAGTTAATTAAAATTGTCTACTGTGGAGACCAAAGAAAACAAGTTTTCAGGTCCCCAGTTTTTGGTTTATGTCAATTTCCTGTAAGAAATGCTTGAGGGCTGGGGATGTAGCTCAGTGGCACCATGTCTGCCTGGCAGGCACGAGGTCCTGAGTTCGATCTCCAGTACCATGAAAAAAAAGAAATGCTTAAATTCACAGTATGCTAGGGACAGACTTTTATGTGGAATTTAGAAGTTTAGTGGTATTTTGTGTTCATGTTGAAATCAATCTTTCAAAAATTCTGTACTTGTTGGATTTTGTGTCTTTACCTATACTTTGTGTTTCATTTCTTGTGATAAGGCTATATTCAGCTTTGAATATAGTTTTCTCTTGAACCATTTGCTCCAAACCTTTATTCAAAATTATTTGAAATAATTAAGCAAAATTTAGTATTTGTGAAGAATTTGTGTGACATGAAAATTATGAAGTATAATATAATGAATATCCATGAATTCACCACCCAGCTGAGGCAGTAGAACATTATCAGTTCCGGTTTGAATTTGCCTATGTTCTGCCATTCTGCTTGACTTCCCCTCAATGGCTCATTTATTTAGGTTGGCTTATTTTTTATTTTTTTGGTACTGGGGATTGAACTTGAGTCCTTGTGCTTGTGAGGCAGGCAGTGGAACCACTGAGCTAAATTCCCAGCCCTAGGTTGGTTTATTGATGGGATACTTGAAAAAAATTCATTTAATATTTTCTAAAATGCATTAGAAAAATAAAAGTTTGTGTGCTAATTGTTCTAAATCTCATTATTGCCTATTATCTTTCTTGACTTGAGCTGAGTATGGTTACTGACAGGTTTTCAGCATGGGCCTCCTGCTCACTTTCCCTACAACTCCGAACAAACGCTTAGTGGTAAGGCTGTCCTCTGTGCCTGTGTACATTCATGCAGTAGCTCCTGGATATGTGGTGGACATAACTGGTTAAAAGATGACTGAATGGCATGTGACTCAGCTGTGAATTTCCTTAAGGGAGAAAAAAGGTCAGTTTAGGAAACCAGTGTCCCTGGTGATCTCTCAAAAGCAGTCTGTTTATAGTTTCCCCTTTGCTATCATTAGATCATGACTCCCACTTGGTTCTTGTGCGGACTTTTATGTTTTTTGTTTGAGAATGTCTGAGTAATTCACACATGTGATGAATTTGTTGCGATCCTTCTGTTAATTGTGTCTTTTTTCCAGCGTTTTGCAGGGGGGGAGTACTTTTGTTGTGTTTGAATTCTCATCAGGGTCTCATTAGCAGCACTTTCTCACTCCTATCCCTTTTCTTGTTTTGTCCTGCAGCTCCTGGAATGAGGCCCCCCATGGGAGGCCACATGCCAATGATGCCTGGGCCTCCAATGATGCGCCCCCCTGCTCGGCCCATGATGGTGCCCACTCGGCCAGGAATGACTCGGCCAGACAGATAAAGCTAGAGGGGCGGCCTCTTCATATCAGTTTTATATTGTTTGTTCTATGTCACCAGGAGATCATGATGCTGTGACTGTGGATGTTTTCTAACAGTGTAAGGAAGGCTTGCTTCCCCTTCCTGTCAAACAGAGAAGAGATTTGAAGGGAGAAGTGAGATAAACAAAAGTGCAGGAATTACAGTTTCATTTGTATTGTGAAATGTGAAAATAAACTTGTCAGCTCTTTAGTTAAATATGTATTCATTTTTTCCTCCGCTCTGTGTTCTGTGTATTATAAGGGAGATTAAACATTCCACTTGTGCTCCCCTAGCTCATTCCCTTCAGCAGATCCTGTGATTGAGGTGTTTTTCCCTTTACCATAAAATCCCTTTTGACACCTGCTTTTAATTGTTTTTTGTTTTGTTGTCTTGAGACAGGGTCTCACTATGTAGTTCAGACTGTCCTCAGACTTGCTGTAATCCCCCTGACTCAGCCTCCCAAGTTCTGGGATTTCAGACATGCACCACTGTGCCTAATTAGTTAGTAAAGTTCTCTTGTGTAGAACTCTGATAAATCTAACACTGATAGGCCTGCTTGTCTGCCTCCCTGTTTTTCTTTCTTTTTTGTTTTTTCATGGGTGTTTCTTTGGTGCATTGAAGATGGAACCCAGGCCCGTAAATATGCTAGGCAAGCATAGAGCTTGTATTGGATAAAGTAACATGCTTTATATAGTAAGTGGAAGGTTTTAAGTCTTTGATGCTGAAGTAGGGAAAAATACTTAAATGTTACATGCATGTAAGCTAAAAATGGAAATAGTTGCTTTAACCCAGCTTCTCCTTTTTCTCAGCTCTCCTCTTGGCTTCCAATAGCCTGAAACCTTCTATAGTAGTCATAAAATTCTGTAGATGTACACGGTACAGGAGATACCTTGATTTTTTTCTTTCTTTCTTTCTTCATAGTTTTGATGATGGTAGGGATTGAAGCCAGGATCTCATGTGTGACGGGCAAGTGCTCAACCACCTGGCTACTCCCTAGCTCCAGAAGGTGGTGTTAGAATGCTGTTTGTCCTAAAGAAGGTAAAACAGGGCTGGGAATGTAGCTCAGTGGCACAGCACCTGCCTGGCAAGTGCAAAGCCCTGAGTTCGATTCTCAGTACTAAAATAAAAAACAAAGATGCTATTTGTTACAACATTGGGCTGTAAAATATACTGTATCCTTGACCTTGCAGAATGGATGGATAGTTGAGGGTCAGGCATAAGGAAAGAAAAGCTTGTCCCCTTCCAGTAACTAAAAATGTAAATAAGATTCAAATTATATAACTGATAATGTGAAATAGGAAGAAAAGGGCTAAAGGTGTAGGGGAAGTGGGAAGGGGAGGGAAAAGGAAAGAAGGGAAAAGAAATGGGAAAAGGGAAAAATGGGAACACTTTGTAAATAGCGGAGGGTGGAAGGAGTAAAGGGAGGGCAGGGCTCTGGGGAAAAAGTGAGAACCAAGGTCCATCATGCAAAGGTACAAGATCCCAATGATGAATGTCACTGTACTGTAAACCTAAAAAGTACCAATAAACTCAATGAAAAAAGCTGGGTGGGCCAGGGATTCAGCTCAGTGGTTCTGCCACCTACCTCGCAAGCGCAAGGTCCTGAGTTCAATCCCTGGTACCAAAATAAATACATAAAAAGCTGGGTGCAGTGGCAAACGTGTATAACCCCAGCACTCAGGAGAATTGTAGGTTTGAGGGTAGCTTGGGCAACTTAGACTGTCTCAAAAAAGGACTGGGAGCAGGGGAAGTGCACATCTGTCATTGCAGCACTTGGCAGGCTGGGGTAGGAGGGTTGCTGAGTTTGAGGCCAGCCTGGGCTACATAGAGACCTGTTTCAAAAATATGACTGGGGTAGCTTGGCGGTAGAGCACTTGACTAGCACCCATGAACCTCTGGGTTTAATCTCCAACACCACAGAAAAAAACTGTCAGCTAGACTACAGTGATATTATGACAGAACATGACCTAAAGCAGCAGTGTACAGCCTGGCTAATGCAGTCAGAATCAGGGCAGTTTTCAAGTAAAGATGGCAGACTTTCATTCCATAGATCTGGAGTATAGCCTAGGAAATTTGCTTTTGTTGTCTTTATTTTGCATTCTGGGGATCGAACTCAGGACCTTGCACTTGCAAGGCAGGCAGCTGCACCACTGAGCTAAATCCCTGGCCCTTCAGAAATTTGCTTTTTTATTTGAGACAGGATCTCACTATATAGTTCAGGCTGGGTTTGAACTCAACTATAGTACAGGCTGACCTTGAACTCCTCCTGCCTCAGCCTCCGCAGGAAAATTTATTTTAGAAGAGCTAGGAGATTTTAATTTTAATTTTTAGGTTTTTTGAGATGGTCTTGCTCTAATTCAGGCTGGCCTTGAACTCACTGTGTAGCCGAGGCTGGCTTCAAGCTTGCAGCAATCCTCTTGTCTCTGTCTCACAAGTGCTGGGATTCCAGGTGTGTGCCCCCATGCCTGGCTGATTTTTATTTTAAGCATGTGCAGAAAAATCTGCCTTAGACAAGGATGTAACTTTATCTTTGCATTCCTGTCCTTAAAAAGATGTGTAGCTAGAAATTGAAGTGACAATAGATTTGCTTCTTTTTCTAGAAACAATGTTTTGAAGAGACTAATTTTGGCAAATGAACTAGTTTAAGTGAGGAAGTGTTAGAAATAGATTGTGATGATGCATGGTCTTTAAGCTTGGCCTCTGTTGGGCTGAATCAGCTTCCTAGGTTGAGCCAGGACTAATTATTGTGATGATATGGTCTTTAAGCTTGGCCTCTGTTGGGCTGAATCAGCTTCCTAGGTTGAGCCAGGACTAATTGCCTTTTAGTTTCTCACTTTGTCACTTCTTTAGGAAGTATTCAAGTCTCAAAATCTGATTGTTTATGTGTTTTGTGTGTGTGTGTGTGTGCGCGTGCACGCGCCAGGGGATTGAACTCAGAGCCTTGCACCACTGAGCTAAGAGTATCTTATCTGGGCCAAGGTTATCTTTTGAACACAGACAAAGCCCATAGGTCCCTGTTTACGTTTTTATGTAGCCTCAAACTCAGTCCAGCTCATGGCTCTGCTGCCTTTTTTGTTTTTCTTTTTTTGTGCCAAGGATTGAACGTGGGTCTTTGAGCTTTTGAGGCATGTGGTGGAACCACTGAGCTAAATCCCTGGCCCTCTGCTGCCTTTTCTGTGGTCTGTCCCAGGAAGTGTTGGTGCTGCTTTTCTCCCCACTCTGCCCTTTGGCTTCTGGGGTCCCCCATGCCATTCACTACTTGAACAGTAATGTCTTGGGTAGCAGGGTATGAGTCAATATGGTACCAACCAGTAGGCCAGTAAATACAGACTCGATTATTTAGGAAAAACCCTGGTTTTCCTAAAAGGAAAAGTAGAGCCTCACTAATGTTGCCCAAGCTGACTTCAAGCCACCCTGTCTCAGCTTTCTGAGTAGCTGGGGTACAGGTTGTGTGTGTGTGTGTGTGTGTGTGTGTGCTGTGTTTTGTGTTAGTAGGGATTGAGCCCAGAGCCTTCTCAATGAGCTCATTCCCGGGTCTCACTAAGTTGGTCAGGCTGGGCTTGAACTCTATCCTGCTTTATTTTTATTTACTTACTTATTTTATTTATTTATTTTTTTCCTAGTATGCCAGATAAAACCTAGGACCCTGCGCTTGCCAGGCAGGTGAGGTGCTGCTGAGCTACAATCCCTGGCCTCTTTGTCCGGCTTTAGTCTTCCAAGTAAATGGAATTACAGGTGTGCGTAACCACAGCCTACCCAAAGTATGTTTTTATTTTATTTAGTGATTTATTTTGCCTAGTTTGTTTGTTTTGAGACAGGGTCTCACTAGTAGTTGAGATTGACCTGGAACTCACTGTGTAGCCCAGGCTGGTCTCGAATCCACAGAGATCCTCCTGCCTCAGCCTCCCAAGTGCTGGGATTATAGGCGTGTGCCACCACGCCCGGCCCTTTTTTTTTTGAGACAGGGTCTCACTATGCAGTTCAGGCTGACCTTGAACTCATGATGTAGTTTAGGTTGGCTTTGAATTTGAGGCAGACTCCTGAGTACTGGGATTATAGGCATGCCGGCCTTTGGGCCCATCGTACCTGGCCCAAAGTATGTTTTTAAGGTTGAATCTCCACTCTTGTAACATTTCTGGTTTTGGAAGAAATTCTTAAGTTTCTAAAAAACAGTATGATGACTTGAAAGTTTAACAGGCTTGGACTATTGTATATAGTGAAAAAAAAGTAAAACCGAATAGGTTAGATTTTTTTTTCTTTTCTTTCTTTCTTTTTTTTTTTTTTTTCTTTTTGTACTGGGGATCAAACTCAGGACCTTGTGCTTGCCAGGTAGATGCAGTGCCACTGAGCTAAATTCCTGGCCATAGTTTTTGTTTTTTGAGACAGGGTCACACTATGCAGTCCAAACTGGCCTTGAACTGGTAGAGATCTTCCTGCCTCAGTCTACCAAGTGCTGGGCTTACAGGCATGCACCACCATGCCTGGTCTTATTATTATTATAATAATAGTAATAATAATAATTATTATTATTATTTTTTTGGTACCAGGGATTGATCTTGTGACCTTGCCCTTGTGAGGCAGGCAGTGGCACCACTGAGCAAAATCCCTGGCCTGGCTGTATTTGTTTTGAGACAGGGTCTCAGTGTGCAGCTCAGGGTGGTTTTGAACTCAGGATGTAGCTCAGGCTCAGCCTTCTCAGTGCTGGGATTAGAAGCATGCGCCACCATGCCAGGCTAGTTACTGTCCACTTGGGACCGCATACAAGCTTCCTCTTTGGTGGGCAGATGGGCACGTAAAGTCCAGCCTCTCTCATCATTCCACAGCTGGACTTTAATGTTTGTCGGAATGCTAGTCCCCTCGTCTTTGGGCTTCATGAGGAATGAGACAGTCCCATCCCCTTTTGTTTAATTGGATCCTCCCCAGTCTGGGTTTGCTTGGTATTTCTTTCTTTTTTTTTTTAGTATCGGGTATCAAACTCGGGTCCTTGCACTTTCGAGGCAGGCGGTGGAACCCCAGAGCTACATCCCCAGCCCTGCTTG